GGCCTACCTCAATGAACTTCTCCGTTCGCTTCGGTTTTTCTAGATCTTACACATTCGGTAGGACTCCTTGGGCGGGTGATCAGCTCGTCGCAAGGCCTCTACCTGTATACAAACACAGAAAAACGCACACACACTAACTAAACATCCATGCCCTGAGTGGGATTCGAAACCACGATCCCGGTTTTCCAAGCGAGCGAAGACAGTACATGCCTTAGACCGCTCGGCTACCGTGACCGGCCTCTACTGATTCACTGTGCCTAATTTTACCTCACAAGTAAATTAGCCCTGTTGTGCTTAATTAGTTAAGCACTATACGATGAAAACATACGGGGGAATAAAGGTATAGCTCCACCGATCTTGACGTCGCACTAGATGGAGGCGAGCGGTCAGCTTCCACCACTTCCTCCTACTGGCGTGCAGGTCTACACCCATGAGATAAGTGAAATGTTTGACGTGAACTACATGTGCTAGTCCTTTGCATTAATTATTCGAAGAGTTCGCAGGGACAAATCCCACACTGATTTGGTTTCTATAGTCCTGCTGAAATTCTTTTATTATAGATCAAACCGAGATAGTCTTAAGGCGCGTCCACATTACTCGTGCTCGTGCTCGTGTGACTCGCTATGCTCGCGAGTAATGTGGACGACATGAAAAGTCACGAGACAAGAAAATTTTTAATTTAAAAACTATTGCCAATAAATTAAAATACGACTACAGCCTATACACACTACGAGTAAATATACGGATCCTCACGCGCCGAAGCCTGGCGAGCAACTGAAGTAGTGTGGACGAAGATTTACGAGCACAAGTAAAAGCCAGACGAGTCTCCCGAAGAGCACAAGCCTGGTGAGCACGAGCACGAGTAATGTGGACGTGCCTTTAAGTTTACAGATTGCTTACGATTGCGTCATAATATTTTTCGACGTAACTCGATCTCCAAGAGCGTCTCCATGTCCCAGCCCGCTACCCAAATCGGTTCAGTCAGCATACAAAAAGCAAAATAACTTAGAGAAAATCTGGAATATGAGTGTCCTTCAACGGTATCCGAGTGTAGTTCACTTCGTTTGGCTGAGACTGGCCGACTCAGATATTTGAGTACCGCCCTGTTTTGCAGAGTAAAAGGTAAAGTTGTCCCTGTGCTTAACTAATTAAACACTACTCCTTGAAGGCGTATGGTGTAATGGATGTATAGACCCAAGTTTTCTTGACCTCGGCACTAGCTAGAGGTGAGTGGCTTGTTGGTAGAGGATGTGTCTTTGGCGCTGTGGTAGTACTGATGTCGGCGGGGTGCTGGTGTTGGTGATGGCGGCGTGGTGGCGGTGATGGTAGTGGCGTGGTTGTGGTGGTGGTTTTGGGAGCGGGATGGTGATTGTGTTGTTGGCGGCGGCATGGTGGTGGTGGTGGTGGCGGCGGCGAATTTTCCTGGTTGTTGTGGCTGCTACTGCTGCGTCGTAGCGTGTTGGTAGCGACGCGGTGCTGGTGGAGGTCGTGATGGAGGTGGTGTCTCATAATGGTGGTGGTAGTGGTTGCGTGTCGTGGCTGGTGACTTCTAAGTAGTGATGGTCCTGTTTGTGTGGTGACTTGTTAGTAGAGATGGTCGTGCTGGTGGTGGCGGCAGCGGCGGCTTTGTTATGTCGTTTTTAATTTGTGGTGCTGGCTTAGGGTGCGTTTTGGCTTGGAGTTATGGTGGCGTCGTGGTGGTCGTGGCGGTGGTGGCGGCGGCGTCGGCGTGGTGTTGGTTTGTGGTGGTGGGTGTGTGGTGGATGTGGTGGTGGTGGCAGCGGAGTTGTTTTGCTGGCGGCCTGTTGTTTTTGGTGGTGGTGGTGGCGGCGGCGTGGAGATGGTGTATTTGGCGGCGGCGACATGGTGGCGTCATTGTGCCTGTGGCGGCGTGGTGGTTACGTTGTTGTTGTCGCGTAGTGGGTGTGGTAATGGCAGCGGCGTTTTCGTGTTGGTTTGGGTTGGTGGTGGGGATGTGATGTTGGTGGCTTGCGGATTGGTGTTGATGGTGATGGTTGTTGAGGCGACGTGTTGTTTGTGGTGGTGGGGGTCGTGGAGTGATGCAGCAACCCTGATGGTGGCTTTCTTTCCATCGTGGTGATGGTGCCATGGTGGTGTTCTCCTGCTAGTGGTGGTGTTGGTTGAAGCTGTGAGGTGTTGGTGGTTTAGTTGTGTAGTTGGTGGTGGTGGCGGCCGAGTAGTGTTGGTGATGGCGGTGGTGGTAGTGGTGATGGCGTGGTGGTGTTGGCTGCGGAAGCGATGTTGTGGTGGTGGTGGTGGTGGTATGCGGCGGTAGTGGTGGTGGTGGTGTTGGCGGCGGAGGCGATGTTGTGGTGGTGGTGGTATGTGGCGGTAGTGGTGGTTGTTGTGGTGGTGGCGTAGTTTTGTCATGGTGGTTGTGGTGGCTGCAGAGTGATGTTGGTAGAGGTGGTGGTTGTGGAGGAGTCTTGTTGTTTGTGTTGGTAAGGGATGGTGGTGTCGAAGTGATGTTGGAGGTGGCGGCGGCGAATTGCTTGGTGGTCGGGTGTGGTGGTGGTGACGTAATGGGGGTGGCGGAGGAGGCACAGTGTGGATGCTCATGTCGGCGTCGTGGTGTTTCTGGTTCTGGCGGCGACGTGGTGTTGGTGGTGATGGAGGTGGTTGCGGAGGCGGCGTGTTGACTGTGGCGTGGTGGCGTTCTTTCTGAGATTATGGTGGTGCTGGCCTCGTGGTGGTAGTAGTGGCGTGGTGGTGGTGGTGGTGGTGGTGGTGGTGGTGATGGAGTATTGGTGGTGGCTGCGGAGTGGTGTTGGTGTTTTAGTTGTGGCAGCTGTGGTTGTGGTGGTATCCTATTGTTGGTGACAGTGGTGGGTAAGTAAATCCAAAGTTCACCTTCATCATTCACTCGTACTATGACACGAATGATCCTGACACAACTGCTTTCCTACCATATGTGGTGTTGACCTCCAACTGCATTAGCAGGGTGCTCTCCCAGCATAACATCAAATCAGTCAGCCGCCTGCAAGGAAATCTCAAGCTTCCTGCGGCTGGTCACAGACAATGTGTCTTCTTGCTCTTACTATATCCTGCAACTTACTCCAACATGCTACAATGAATGTCAATGATTAATGACACATAATTCTGTTTCAGTTGATGTGAGGTTCTGAGTACAAAGTATGAGTAAGAGTGAGAGAGAGCGAGATTTTAAGTATATGAGTGGAGAGACAGCAGTTCTCCTTCCATGTGACACCTAACCCTAAGAAAAGCGTGACTTTAAAGAGAAAATCAGTTCATACTGAATGATTCTAAAGAGACGAGCTATAACAATGAGCAATATTAGTTTACACTGAGACTACAATTCTTCTTGTGTTCCACAAATTATGAGACTTAATTTAAATATAACTATGCAGCCTGTAATTTCTATGGGTACTTCCTATATCTGAGATTTGGAAAGCAGATGCAGTTATTCACTGCATTTGAACTAAATAACAAAAACCATATCCTGAATTTCATGTATTCCATCATATAATTCACACGATGGTACAATTGTGTCAAATTAGAAAAAAAATTAACCCCCATTATTTTCATGCTCTCCAGGTTTATGAATGAAAGACATCAGTGTAACATTACCTGTATGTCACTGGCTACACTAAGGTAAGAGGGAACTGAAAATATCTGAAGTAAAATCTTGCATACAGATTAAATGATTCATGTTTTGATTTGTTAACAATATGCCATGTATAAAGAAGCTTACTAAATGCATAGGTATAATTTAAACAGAAAGTAAGCTAATTTTTATCAGTTAGCTTCTTGCAAGACATACTTTGTGCTGCAGGGAAAATATTTAAATTGTATAGATAGATGAAGACCAATACAGCGAGCATCTAAAACTCTTGAACATATGTGAACTGATTCCATTTCTACTATTTTACTTGGGAAAAACCTTTTTTTCTTTCTACTAAGCCACCTCTCTCCCCCCCCCCTCCTACTTGCCTCATCTTGTAGTTTCAATTTGTTAAACTAAACATAAGTAACTGATCGATAAAGCACATGGTGCAAATATGCAGAAGAAGTTGTTCATAGTGTTGAGGAAAATTTGTTCTTAAAGTGATACTTTTTTGTGAAGATAAGAAAAGACTTGCTGTTTTACAGTACAGAATCCAGATGTAGCATCATGAAATATCTGTTTCATACTTCTACACAGCAAAGTAATGACTGTACTCCAGTTGGTCTCTTTACTTTTCTGAGATTCGATATTCAGCCAATATAAAATTGCTTTTACATTTATCAATGTGTTGAGAAAAGTTTAAATTTCCTCTGATGCTGCTCTATTCTTTAAAACGCACAATATAATACACTGGGTCAGTTTGTGGTGACTGCAAGAAACCCCTTTTGGAACTTCTAATCACCGTTATTACAAGACAACACACATCAAAATTCAGAACTCTCAATACATGTAATCTGATAATAGTCACCCTTGGGTGGAGCTTCCCTGTTACATTCATTAAACATGGAAAGAAGAGTATTTTGAAGGGGAAGAAAAAATATGTATAATTTACGACTGTGAACATGATGGGGACGTTAACAGAGAATTCTACAAGACAATATTTTTCAATTAATCTCTTAAAACAATAACAAACTCTGTCTGAACAAAATATGCAAGGGTGAATGATGACTGACATCATGTAAGTTCGTTTTTATTATTCTCAGTTATGGTATGTAATGTTAAAGAATAAAATTTGCATTAATTCAACTATACAAAATACATGACTGTCCTTTAGTGGGCAGAGAACAAAACAATCTACAGGTACCATAATGGAACTCCAATGTAGTCCTAATACTCCAGTACTGAAATCGTAACTATAAAAAGAGTTTCTTTGATTCTATGTCCATTATGATAATTTTTCTCTGAATCTGAAATTACATTAAAATTAACATGTAAATTGTTGCTTAAAATATGCACTTACAAGATAAAGAAATGTAAATATATATTTATTAAATTATGTTATCTTGTAAGTGCATGTTTTAAGCAACAAGTTATATCTATATAAGAAATCCACAACTTCAAGCTCACGTTCCTGAAGATTTGTGCTAATGGACACAGAATCTTTCAAAACTCTTGTGATGAGATATTTCAGTATGACTTTCTTTTATTATGTAACACTTGTAAATTAAAAATATACATTTGCATTTGGATTCTGTATGTACATTATTTTATTATATTCACTTGATACTCTCCATGTGCATCAGTGGACCAAGTGAGAAGAAATCAAGCTTGCTTCTTACTTTATATATAACATTTGTTTCAATGGTCTAACATAAGTTACATTTATTGGTACTGTACAATAAAAATGTTTCATTTTCTTAGTTTACACATGTAACTGTTATTTATGACAGTCTAAATCTTCTGAGCTATATATAGTTTGTCCCTTCACTGTGCTGAAGATTTTCTTGTGTCCAATTGATGGCACTTCCATTTCACAAGGTCTAGAAAACAGCCATGAGCATGCAGTAAAATAGTGGCAGATTTCTGCTGTTTATGGTATGGATATAGTTCCATACTTAGTGCAGGTACATAGCAAATTACAGTCTATTTTCCTCTGTCCTCAAATTAAATCACATAAAAGAAGTGTCTGTTCATGGTTTTCTTTTGAACATGCGCTACTTGCTTCTGCTGTGGGGAAAAGATAACCATACAGTTAATAATGCCCTGAGGACTTTCTGTGGAACTGAACTAACAGCAGTCTTCACCTATTCCAAATATGAACACTCTCATGGTATTACTGGTTGTTTAAGATGAAGCGCTGATACTGCTCGTTGCTAAAGTTTCGTAGTAGCATGCAGTTTCACATAACGAGAATGCTGCTCCTCATCCTGTGGGCCAGCCAGAAAACATTGATGTGTAGGTAATAGTTTAGGCCTTTGGAGCAGTCTCCTTGTTGCTAAATATAGTCCAAGAAGCAATACTGAACTAAGGGCCACAAACCCAGTAGCTATAACAATGTTCAATCCACCAAGACCCTGTGGAGTAACTGGTTGTTGTACTGTTATGCATCGGGCTCTGGGGCCTGTAGATGGGAAGTCTCCTGTTGCAGCACAAACACGATAAGGCCCCACAGGAAGATCTTTGATCACTGTTTGTGGATGAGAACAATTAAGGTGCTGCTGGGCTACTAGGGAGCTACCTGCAAATACTGCCACAGTAAGCAAACAGTGTGCCTTGGGCAGAGGCTGCTCCCATAGCTGGATCACTATTAAGAGTGTTCCAGGTGAACTCACATTGACATGAAGGGCAGCAATGTGTGTGGTCAAAGAGAATTCTGGCAAGGGCTGTGACTGCGGTTCAGCAGTGGGAATTAGTGGTATAATGTCACTACATCCCAACACTAATGCCATTTCATCAGATGTGACACCGCCCCCTTCCAGAAGCACCACACAGTAGCGGTAACGGTGACCAAGTAATAGGCCTGCACCAGGCAATGTTAAAGTCAATGCCCTTGGGTCAGCCAAATGTGAGGAATTGCATCGGACTGGGTTGGATTCCAACAACACTTCATGTGCACCCTCTTCTTCATACACAAACAGGGCATCACAAGCATAAGGTGCTGCACTAGCTTCAACACTCCACAGTAGTGTTACACTAACACCATCATACTGAAAGATGCGGAGGGTAACCTGTTTACCAGAAACAGGAACTTGGGGGTTAAGGGGCCCTTGTGGAGGTGCTGGACCAGTTTCCTCTTCATCTTGTCCACACAGCAGTTCATGTGGTGAAACCTCTACCAGCAAACCATTCTCTAGTGAAGGAGGTGTGGCACATACGGCTGTAGTTCTATCAGAGGTGGGCAACAGGCTGGAATTGGTGAGCCACTCAGCAAATTCAGCAAGACTGCAGTCACAATTAAGTGGGTTGTCTGCACAAACAGAATCAAATATCACGATGTATAACAAAACATTTTTCCAATACTCTTACCACAAGATTATCACAACAATTACTGTTATTTGTAGGGTCACCCAGTGGAGAATACCATTCTGATAACCTGCTTGATTTATAAAACAGCACTTCCTGATTTACATTAATCTGGCAGTCACCTATAACATGTTACTGGGTTAGCCTGAAATTTGACACTTCCAGTTATTTGAAATTGTCCCAAGGAATACTTAAAGTAGCCAGTGAAGTGCTAGGAAATATAGCTGTAAAACACCATAATGTCTGGTATAATGAAGAGTTCCAGATTGCAACTGAAAGAAAGAAGAAAGCATGTACTACAATGCAGCAGAGAAGTTACACCAGATCCTCTGTGGAGGACTATCGGGCAGTAAGAAAAAATAAAAAAAAAAAAAAAAAAACGCACATAAGAGAAATGAGAGGCATTATGGGAATAACATAAAGTTCAAGAAATAGAACATCTAATGAGCCAACATCAGATCAGGATATTTTATAAGAAAATTAACAGAATCTGGAAGGATTATAATCCTCAACTGGCCACACAACAGCTCAAGCGGTTAGTCGCTGGCTTCCCACAGCGGGAGCCCGGGTTCATTCCCAGGTCTGGTCAAGTGGGATTTGTGGTGGACAAAGTAGCGCTGGGACAGGTTTTCTTTGAGTACTTCGGTTCACCTGCCAATCTTCATTCCACCAATTGCTCCACAACCACCCCCACCTATCATCTTGGGCTGGTACAATAGGCCAGAAGTGGCCGCAATACAAGGGACTTAGTCCCACCCAACTAGCATTAAAAAAACCTCAATTAACATTAAGCAAAGAAGAGGATAGAGAGATTATTAGTAAGAAGGAAGAACTATTAAAGAGATGGCAGAGATACTTCTGAAATCTATTGAAGGCCCAGGAATCAGAGTTGAAAGCAGATAACACTATGCAGATATGAAATTATGGTGAAGAAGCAATACAACCACCACCAACAATGGAAGAGGTTGAAAATGCAATAGAAAAACTGAGGAATAATATATCTCCAGGGTTAGATAATCTGCAAGCAGAACTATTAACATATGGTGGTAAAGATAATGTCAATAAACTACACCCTATCAATCTTCCAATCTGGATAATGGAAGAGACCCCAGAAGATTGGAGCAAAAGCATCTCCTGCCCAATAATTAAAAAAGGAGACCTAATGGAATATCATACCTGTAGAAGGACAAGCCTTATAAAGTGTTACCCAATATTTTGTTTAAGAGAACTTCACCGCATGCAAAAAATTAGAAATCATCAACATGGATTTCAAAAGGACAGTTCTACTTTAGAGTAAATCTTTTCATTATGACAAATAATGGTGTAAAAAAATATAGAGTTCAGGGTGACACTGCACCATCTATTTGTGGACTTTAATTTTGCATATAATACAATAAATAAAGAGCAATGGGTGAATTGAAAATTCCAAATAAACTTATTACAATGATAAAGTTAACAATGGAGGACACTAAACCCTATGTTATAATACTGCCATACCTATCAGCTGTGGTAACATCCAAGAATGGTCTTAGACAAGGTGATGCATGGTCCTGTCTTCTTTTAATATTGCACTGGAGAAACTAGCGAGAGAAGCTAATATACAGAATAATGGCACAATATGTATAAGTTTGCCAAGTACTTGCACATGCAGAAAATTACCCCCCGCCCCATCCCCAAATAGCAAAATCCCAACCCTCACTCAAAGAAGCCTTCCTTGCAGTACAAGGTGCAGCAAGAAGAATGGGATTAAGAATAAACCAAGCAAAAAACAAAACATATGATTGCAAGTTAGAATGCAATACAAAGTGAAATGTAACTATTGGTAGTTATACACTTGAAGCAGAACAGACATTTATATATCCAGGGTCCCCAGTCACTTGTAAAAACAATATTAGCCCTGAAATTAAGACATGAATTTTGATAGCTAACAGATGCTGTTATGGATTGAACAAGATATTAATTATGCCAGGTTGGTCAGAAACATATGTATTATCTACAGCTGATAAAAAACTCTTGCTATCTTTGAAAGAAACGTTTTGAGGTCCATATATGGCCCACTCAAAGACAACAATGAATGAAGAATTAAGTGTAATTACAACTTGTATGCTTTGTCTGAGGACATGGATATCATGACCTTCACAAAATTGGGTAGGCTGAAATTGGCTGCTCATGTCATTCTAATGGACCAGCAACAACCTGCAAAAAGAATTCTTAATGCCAAACTGGTAGACAGAAGAAATATATCGATGCCCAAACTGAGATGGGAAGCTGGAGGGGACAATGATGCTAAAGCTCTCAGGAAAGAAACTGGAAAAACCAAACCAGGAATAGACAAATCTGACAAATCTTCTAAGGAAGGCAATGACCCAAAAAGGGCCGTCTTGCCGATGACGATGACGACGATGATGATGATGATGATGATGATGATGATGATGATGACAACAAGACAGTTCAAGAACTGACTCTACTCACATTTCTAGGCAATAGANGATAAGAGTTCTCCTTGAATTGTCACTTCGTTTCTTCTTCAATTTGTCGCTCTGGCATAACAGGCTCAAATAGGGCTTTGTACAATCCACCTCCTGTGGAACGCATGGACTTGCAAACTGCATGTGTTAATACTTGATATGAATCTACTTGATGGGTTGGCTTCATGAGCTGTTAGGGCAGAAAAAAGATTCTTGACAAGGTCAGGCACAAATAACACATTCTTTAGTAACAACATTTTACTCTAGTTTCCTAGGTCTGACTTCACTTTCATGTCTCCAGCCCCAACTGCTTGTAGCGGAGCTTGACCTGCTTGAATAATGTCCTTTGGCTTCTCAAACCCTTCAAAATTTATGAAGTACTTGGAACAATTTGTCATGTGTTTTGTAGCACCATTGTCAATCCACCACTCTGTACCCTTAACCTGAACTGTAGAGCAAATCTCACAATCAGAAGCTACTGTTCCAATTATTACTTGAGCTCTGTCTTTACTACTTTCTTTTTCTTGATTTCCTCTTTGAGGACAGCCATCATGTATCCACTTCTTGCAAGTTTTCACCCAGTGTCCTTTTCTTTTACAGTAATTGCATGTGTCGTTTTTCTTTGAATTTGGCTTCCAGTTATGTCTTGCAACAGAGGCCTCCTGTGTAAAATTCTCAACTACTTTCACTGTTTCTTGAATCGGAAAATTTACAAAATTTCTCTCGAACATGCATAACTTACTAGTCAATTCGTCTATTGGGTTGTCTTTGCTTTTTCCTATAAGCATCCAACTAGACTTGAATGACTCAAATAAATGACTTTGCTCAAATAGGGCTTTGTACAATCCACCTCCTGTGGAACGCATGGACTTGCAAACTGC